TTTATAGGTTGATGTTTATAACTATCTGTGAGTATGTCAATTCTCATATCTATGTTAGGTTTCGAAGCATTGACCTCACTTTATCTTGAACTTTGACTTGACTTTGAATCTCTGAATGTTGTACGAGATGTTTCTCAAACCTAATTTCCTCTGATATATTGTTGACAAACGATGTTGATGCATTCGTAGATGTCCTATCGACATGTAGTTGTAGAAAAATGAAGTAACCTGTCCCCCTTCCATGTTCGATCCAGTTTCCTTCGTATCAAGCCTCGCCGTTAAAAGACTAAAACCACTCAAATCCCATGCTAATGTACACAGAACAAATCGCCGCTAGATCTACTGCTCCCGGTTTACGGACGACACGATCCCAAGTCTCTTCTTTTCTTCTTCGGAGATCGTCACATCCCAGATCTTCAATTCCTGGCCCTTTTCGAAGGTGTTGTGGTCCATTGGGGACTTGCGCTGGCTGGAGTCCCGGATAACCAAGGCCTTGCTCGATAAAGCGAGCGCGTCCACAAGCTCGGCCATGCGTCGGGACTTTGTAAAGGCACGAGTGATGTGCTCGTAGTTTGCAACCCAGATAGACACAATCATGCAGGATGTCAATAGGTCGTGCCGCTCGAGGGCGTGACTGGCGTAGTACAACGCGTTATGCCAATCGAGAATCAGCTCTGGAATGTAGGTCGTCCGAATGTGTTCGAAGTCTTTTTCTTCCTCGGCTATAGAACCAATTAGTCTTGAGATTCCAATGCCGTAACATCAAGTACATACCATCGGTAGATATGGGTAGCCAGTCTTCGGCGACCACTGCTCCAACCCATTCCTCTAGAATACTGACGCATTCGTTCATGTCTTGACCCATGTTCTGCAAGGTACCCGAGTCACGTCGACGTTTGGTCCTAAATTGATTAGCTTTGGCAATGAGATGAATAGGGAAGGGAAAACTCACTTGGACATCTGCTCGTGCACCAGTGCGAATTGCTCCACGGCATCAAACCCAAGAGCCAGACTCTCCAGATCTAGAACTCTATGAGCCCTGTAGTATGCCGAAACTAGTGCAACGTTGTTGGAGCCGGAAAGACTTGCGGAAAGACTTCGCCGGTGGAGACTGTTTCTCTTTGATTTAGTGGGGCTAGTTGGTGTAGTTGCCTCGGTCTGTAGCCCTTCTTGTGGAGGCATGGAAATGATGTCGGATCCGAATTTGTCAATCGAGATATCAGCCAACCGAATACGGAAACTCAACTCGCGAGCAGCGGCAAGCTTATCAGCAACTAGTAAAGTCAGTTCGGTTGGATTCAAACACTAGGAGGAACAACAACATACGGAAGAACTTGCGATACAGCCAGGATCCAAGATCGCAAATCTTATCCCACTGTCCATCTATGTAGCGAAGCCACTCCAGACTGCGAATCATCCTGTCATCTTCCGGAGCGACAGAGTTCCCAATCAAGTCGGTCTTGGGTGACACTAATGTCCGGGAACCGTCAGGTCGTCGCAGCACCCTCGAATAGCCAGTGACTCCTCTAGAATGTTCAATCGCAGGGACATGTTCTTTCACCCACGCCCATTGAACATCAAGAACAGTTTCCATGTTAATATGATGTTTCCGTGCGAGTCGAACTTGTTGTATCTTCTCTTGTGGGTCAACGATTTCAATAAGAATCTTAGCTAGAATTTCGTGTCCCATCTGTGCGGGGAGGAGAGAGACGTAAAGTGGGACAAGGTGGAATAGACCCCTGTCTTCCAGGTTGGCGATATGCCCAGCCACGATCACTGACGCCGTTTCAACGAAATGGGAATCCACGCGGGCGTATCCCCTTTCACTAGCCACAACGTAGACATGAGCTGCAATCCTGAGAGCTTCTTCGTCATCGGCAGCTATGAGGAAAGATTCATCTACTGGCTTGCGCACAATCTCTGGAATCACAGAGGTATTCCCGTATTTATCGGCGCTGACTTGAGATACAGCCTGAGCAAGAGCAGTGAAGAATGTATCGTAGCCTTTGCTAAGAATCGTGGCCTGGATGTTGCGGAACGGATTACGCGCTTCGCCGCTAACCCGGTCGTTGCCCTTGAGATATACAAGGAACTTTTGAAGTTCTGCGTGCCCAGCTGGTTCCGGCTTGAATGCCACAGGGGTATTGGGGGAGTGGCTGAGTTTCCGCTGGAATTGTTTGCAGAATCCCTGGTAGCGTGAGAGCACGACACGGTTGAAGTACACGTAAAGGAAGTCGTCCCAGCTCCGGCAGACGCTGGCTGCAGCATCGGTTTCGCCACAAAGCAGGGCGTAAACTGCTCGTTGAAATTCATCGGTATTGGGGTCGCGTGTTAGCGCAGAGCAAGCGGTGCGCCATGCATCTTGGGCTCGACTGTTCATCAAACGCGTGTGGCCATCGTCAGATGGGTATCGAGTACTTGCCGACTTGGGATCCACACTAGAGCCGCACATGCTGACGGCCCTCCATCCTTCCAGACGACTCTCTGCCCATTCGCGAATCTTAGTCCAGTTTTCGCCCTGTCTGAGCATCTTCCAGCATGTTATCCAGGTGGCGCGCTCGAAGAATTCGTCCTCCTTCTCTAAACCGTGCTTCTGACGAGTGAGAGCATCGGGATCGAGCTGAGTGACTAGCGGTTTTTGATCGCCTTTGCTCAGAAGCGAGCGCGAGATGCCCGGGTCATTGGGTTCGAGGGGCTGTGGCCAGGCGCGCAGACGTTTGTGACCCTTGATCGATTCTTTGGTATAAAGCCAACCGGTTGTCCACAACCCTTGGCCCCTTCGCGATTGTTCTTCCATTTCTGTGATCAGGGTGTCAAACTGCTGGCTTTCGGTCTTAGATGTCTCTTCCAACCATCGCATTGCAACCACGCACTCAAGGCCATATTGGTCAGCATTAAGGAACTCTTCCCACATCTCGCGATCGGTTGAGTAGCGGTGAAGGTTCTGGAAAGCTGTCTGTCGTCCTGCCTTGTAACTAGCCCGGCTAGAGGGGTCGTCAATGCTGATCAGGTTGAGCAGGAGGCGCCAAGTGTCGGCCTCAAGTTGCAACCGCCGTATCTCCTCGTAGCTTTTGTGCTCTTGCGACCCGCTTGATCGGAAGCCTGTCTTTGTCCGGTCCACGATTTGTTGTGTCTGGATTTCCTTGATCGCATTGTTCGCAATGTCGCGATAGCTCTGTACAAGCTTGTAAGCTGCCTGGGCACTGTTGAAATCGTCGGTTGAATTGGCGCGCTTGAACTGATCCAGCTTATCGGCGAATGCTTCGATCTGGCGAGTGACGCGGTCCGCTGTCCGGCGAAGGGGGTGCAGCGCCTCCTGGGCGCCCGCCGCGGTGAACAGCGGGGTGTCTGGGACAGAGTTTAGTAAATGCGATCTAGACATAGATCTTGAGCTAACCTTGAGATTTGCCCGACACGCCAAAGACAGACGGCTCATCAGAAACATCGGACCCGGTGTCCGATACGGTGTCGCCCTCTGTATCTCCGTCCATGTCCTCATCTTGGTCTTCCGATTGGTCTTCCGACTGATCTTCCGATTGATCTTCTGATTCTTGTTCCTCATCCTCCAATTCTTCATCGTCATCGAAAGATTGTTGCGAATCATCGTCAATAGTGATGACCTCAGTTTGGCGCTGGGCAACCTACACAAAGGATTAGCACATAAACAAATAGCCAAGATCAAGGACAACGAACTCACCGGTGTGAATGACCCGGCGGCCGATCGAGTTAAAGGCGCCATGATGGGAGACTTGGTTAGAAGGGAGGAGAGAGGAGCTCTGTGGAATAAGTTGTGTTTGTCTCTTTTGGTTTTCGTGACTGACTAACCCGAACAGGACTAGCGGCAACCCCCGAAGCTATTTCAACGAATTTTCGCCCGCGCACTTCTCTTCTTCTTTTCTTTTCTTCTCTAATGTCTATAGGCTTTCATTAGAGTCTCGGTATGAAAACTCAATTTTCGTACAGGTCCATGAGGCCTCTTTGCGTGCTCACGATTGTCTTATAATAAATGCAGTTCTTCAATTAGCCTGGTTTCCTCCATATGGAAACTCAGACCGCAAAGGAATTGTGACATCCTCCATCTTCAACATGGGTCACTTGAAATTGAAATTTAAAGAAGCAAACGTAATAGCCTTACTACTTTACTTCCCTGCTGCTTGAGCTCGTTGCTTCATCTTCAACTTCAGCAAGTTTGCTTTCGGGCAGCTGACGGTAGACGCTTGGTCACCTTGCTGTTGGTAGAAGGCATTGCAGCACTCATATAAAGCATCAATTTGTGCCTGGCATCTGTCCTCATTGAAGGAGTTTTTCTGCAAGCAATCTAGCTTGGTTAGACCTTTGTGTCAAAATGCTATGAATTGGAAAAATACCTTGAATGGCGCACTGTTAGAGAGTCAGTAAGAGCTAGCAACACCATCCAGGCACTCTAAATGGACGCTTTCAGATATGGGCACATACAGCACGCGGATGGCAGGGTTGATCGTGCGACAGATCTTGCTTTAAATTACCCTAAAAGAATCTCAGCATCTAGCCAATATGTCCACAGTGATACTTTTCATACCATAATGCAAGTATCAAAGACTGTACTCCGTACAAAGCGTTGTAGACACACTGTTCCTTGGAAGTGACGAAAGTGATAGAAGAGCCAAACGCAAAATAGATTCTCCGCCTTCAGACCGTGGGGCGAGTGTGCTATTCTGCCGTCGCCGCTGATCTCTCTTCTTCCTCTCTTTTCTAACCACCCTTTCCACAACCTTCACTATCGCGCTTCTGGGCTTTCGTCGTCTAGGTGAGTACCCCGTACTTCAGTTGTGCCCTAAAATTGCGTTGAAATCGCATCTAACCCTCCTTTTTGAACTCTTCAGACATAATTCAAAGCCCCGCTCAAAGAGGTTTCTAAACTCGCTCTCGCTCCTATCATTGTAAGCATTCTTCCTCATTGACATTCTGGCTTCATAAGAAGTAGCCGTTGAACGAAATCCAGACTCCGACAGTTATTCATCATGTCCGACAAAGAAGGCGCTGCTCCTCCCACCGAGCACCTGAACATCAAGGTGACCGATAACAACAACGAGGTGTTCTTTAAGATTAAGCGCACAACGCAGCTGAAAAAGCTCATGGACGCCTTCTGCGAGCGCCAGGGCAAGCAAATGTCCACTGTTCGGTTCCTTTTCGACGGCACCAGGGTTCGCCCCGAAGATTCTCCCGACACTGTACGGCCATTCCCTTCTTTCGTCATTTATTAGTATCTCGAAATCTTGAAACTAACTTCAAATAGCTCGATATGGCAGATGGTGATACCTTGGAGGTGCACCAAGAGCAAATCGGAGGAGGTTGCTAGACAACAAGCCTTGTATGCTAGATTCGCACTTCCCGACGGAACCGAGGCTACTGGAGCGACATACGTTGGGGGATACGCTAGGGCTGCTGGCTAGCGGTGGACAGAGGATCCTCATTGACGGCCCATGGGCGAAGCGGCGGCGTTCATACTGCTTTTTTTCTTATGAATGATGATTATCAAAAGCCCTTCAGTCTTCTCTGCAGACTTTGAGGGTGCTTTCGCTATGTTATGTTTTCCTCGAGGTCGACCGACCGCATCGCGTAGACATAGGTAGTCTCATTTTGGTCCGAGGCTTTGTATTTGAACCTGGAAGCGAGAAACCAGGACTTGTGCCAAATTATGAAGACTTTCTTCTGGGGGGGGCCTGTTTCATCCGTTAGTTTAGGTGGTTTATGGGGTCTCAATTTAGACTGCGCATACACTTACTAGGCCCTGCTATCACCAGTGATCGCCTTATAACGCGGTTACCAGGCAATCGAATCTAGGGCCCAAGAACCGCGGAGTTGTCCCCCCATGATCAGTTGATCGACCACATGTGTTCTTCGTGGGATAGAAAGTGCAAGATAACCACACACAAAGCAATAAAGAGACGCCCATTCATCGCCCATGGTAATCTGTCACACAGAGAGAAGACATAAACAATCCAATTCAACAAATATACACATGCATAGAGAGCAAATCGCCTAATATAACCCCAGAAATGCACCCTAAAGCGATCTAACTGCTCCAAATAGAAGCCTTCATCTTCTCCTCCTCCTCCTTAGCCTTAGCCTTCTCTTCACGCTCTCGATTCCGCCTCCGGATTTCCTGCTCCTTAATCGAGCGGTCATAAGCGCGCTGCTGCTCTGTCCGCTTCGGGGCGCGGATCCCCAACGCACCGGCAATCAACCGCTCCGCAACGGCAGTCTGCTTCTCCGGTCGACGGGTCGGGGGGCCCTTCGCCGAAGCAGGAGAAGCAGCTCTCGCCGTCCACGGGTTGGAGGTCTGCGGGGAGATAGGTGTCGGCGGGGGACCCAGCGGTCCCTCAGCGCTGATGCTTGGAGAGAGCAGCTGGGAAGCGTATTCGTCGCGGGATTCGGCTTCCTCGCTTTCCGAGGCAGAGAGGTCTGCTTCGTCTTCCCAGGAGTCTGCGACGGGTTTGCGGTGTATTTTAGGGTTGGACTTGGGCTTTGAGGTCACGGCTGCTGCTGGAAGTTTTTTCACGTTTGGTCGGGAGATGTCTCGCACCGGGCCCTTTTCGCCTATGGACAGGTTGCGGAGTGTGGATTCGAGTTCGGCGCTGGCGCTGGCGCTTGGATCAGACATTGGCACGTGAGGTTCGGGTGTAACGGGCGATAAATATACAAAGAGTGTAGTGGTAATGGTCAACGAGAGTATTTAATACACAGTCCAATTTAAGGAAGATTTGTGCAGGCTCGAAATAGAACGAATGGCGTCAGTGCCGGTGGCATCCCTGGTCGATCGTGGAGAACAAAGAAGGGCTAGACCTTTCGGGTTCGGCTGCCTCAGGATAGTCAGGCATCAATAGAGTCTTTTTTCTATTTATATTTCAGGGATAGTAGATCAGTTATATTGGATTCGTAATGTCTTTGGTGGATTTATCAAGTACATAATGCTAACATTCAGCCCCTGACGTTGGAAACATCCGAAGCTAGCAAAAGAAACCGACTTATAGATCATCTAGGAGCATCAAACTATTGCAACCTGCATCAGAAGAAGTTATAGGGTAGTAGGAGTAATAAAGTGCACAATAAACATTGAAGAAGTGACTAGCATCATTCTAGATACTTCGATATTCTATCTGCCAATAGATCCTTTCTACTCCCATGTACCAACCATCTTCGTTCTTTCCCAAAACTGCACCCGAGCAAAGTCACTAAAGTGAGGCCGTTACTCAAGAAACGGGTCTGGTGAAAAGAAGCTGGGGTTTTCCAAGATCATATCAACGATACCATCGGGTCGTGGCCGAGTACTCCCCGGTATAACATAACAAAGAAGTTTGGGACGTACGGCTGTAATGCTAAAACGAGGATCTGAGCACACCCAATGGACTAGGCTATAAAAGAAGAAAGAAAATCACGATAAGCTCGGTTGAAGGTCTCTGCAGTGTAGTGTTCAGGTATACCTCAACTGGCATCTGGCGGGTTGTGAATAGGAAGTTTAATAGAGTAATGAGAGAATATAACAACCTACTGACTTCGAGTGTTTTGGAATTTGACTCGTAAATTCAATGAAGGTCACCGACCATGGCTTCCATGCAAAGCCGATCTGTGGCCGAAAAATTTCGGCAACAGCGGTCTCTCAAAGAAAAATATATCCAAGAATGATGCATGTAAATCTATGTCTATATATATCTTTCTTTGACACACAGTAACATCGAGAGAGTAAAGAAGGTAGTTTTTCTTCGTGACATCTATACGGAGTATCTCCGATCATATCAATTGTCCTCTATGCTAGAATCATGGTTGAAATCCGCGCTGCAGCCAAATGTACGGAGGTGACTCCTCAATGTCCAGTCGAGGGCACCATCTACGGCTACGCACCTGATCTTGTATTCAGCGTTGAGTTCTGTTTGATATTCGGTGCTTGTTCTCTGATACAACTCGGCCAGATGATCAGATGGCGGCTTTGGTCTTTTAGTATTGCCGTGATTCTCGGTTCTTCGACTGAAGTGATTGGTAAGTCAAATTGAAACTCTATGAGAATCACTGGAGACTGCCCGGGAGAATACTGATAAAAGAAACAGGCTATTTTGGTCGTATATTGTTGAACCGGAACCCATATTCATCCGCCGGCTTTAAGACGCAGATTTGCACTTTGACACTGGCACCCGCTTTCTGGTCGGCAGCTATATACCTCACGCTGAAGCATGCAGTGAACATTCTGGGGCAACAAAACTCCGCACTGAGGGCGAAGTGGTATCCCTACCTCTTTGTCACCTGCGATACCGTTTCGTTGATTCTCCAAGGCGCTGGTGGTGGGCTTGCGGCAGCAGCTAAAACAACCAAAGCTAGTGATATGGGCAGCAATGTCATGCTGGCCGGGATTGTTTGGCAAGTGGTCACCTTGACGATATTTGGGGTGATGTCGGGCCACTTTCTTCTCCGTATAAAGAACGCCCCAAAAGATGGATTGACGGTTGAGGCCCGAAAAGTCTGGAACAGTCGCAATTTCTGGGTATTCTTTTGGGGTATCTGTGTGGCATTCATAACAACTTATGTCCGTTGTGTGTATCGGTAAGTCACTGGTGATACTATCTTGATATCTGCTGAGTACTGATATTGGAGTGTCTAGCATCGCGGAAATGGCTGGTGGGTGGAAAAATCACATAATGCAGAACGAACTTGATTTTACTATCCTTGAATCGATGTAAGTCGAACTTTGACAACACAAATTGGAAGCATTTGAAAGCTGATGGATCCTAGAATGTGTTCAGTCTCTGTGATAGCCCTATGTATCACCCCTCCTGGGTATTTCTTCCCGCAAATGCGTGGAGATTACACTAGATTAGTGAAAGAAGTGGATGTGAAGGAAATGAAGGATGTGAAAGATGTGAAGGTCTCTATTTCACTGTGGCCAGAGCCACCACGCTATCAGGAATTTATTTGATTCTGGTGAAGTTACATTATCTTTTGGCTAGATGGTTGTATATTAATGAGTGAGTTGTTTTCAGGATGATTTCAGATCTAGACATAGAGGTTTAGTGGATGTTGTTTCTCAAGAGGAATGAGGGAATATATATTTATAAATCGTTGCATTAGATTGAAAAAGAGATCTATGCTGATATATTTTATCTAGTATGACCATATACACTTTGAAAGGCAAAGCAACTATTGCTCCTTAGCCAACGCGATAACCTTCTTTGCAGCCTCCTCGAATCCATCAAATGCATGCAAAGGAAGGCCACTCTCCGCAATCTACGGATATTCAAGTTAGCAACTAGACAATGGCAGCGGATATTCGGATCATGCTTACCATCTTCTGCCCCAGTTCCTCATTCGTACCTCGCAGTCGTACAACCACTGGAACCTTCATATTCAAATCCCGGAAAGCCAAGATAATGCCCTCAGCAATCATGTCGCAGCGAGTCAGTCCGCCAAAGATATTGACAAAGACGGCTTTGACGCGCGTGTCAGAGCAAATTACGCGGAATGACGCCTTGACTGTCTCCGAAGTAGCTTTGCCACCGGTATCGAGGAAATTCGCGCAGTGGCCGCCGTGGATAGTGAGAGCGTCGACCGTGTTCATGGCAAGGCCGGCTCCATTGACTGCGCGATATTGTGAGCGAATACCCTTTTCCGACTAAGGAATAGACTAGAATACATACCGAGTGTGCCAATATTGCCTTCGCCTTCCAATCTGCTGTATGTCAGCAAAGATACAGACAAACTAGGGAGTCATGGATGTGCTACTACATACTTGACGTAAACAATTCCGTCCTTTTCGGCTTCAACCTCCGCCGCGACCTCTTCGGATATATCCCGCAGTTTATGGATATCTTCCTGTCGGCCCGAGCTACGGAATGCAGCATCGTCGAAGCCAAAACGTGCACCCTGGACCTCCAAAACATCATCGGGCGAGATGCCAATTTGCGTCTCCAGCGTGAAGGCCTCTTTTTCCTTGTAAATTTCCCAAAGGGCTTGCAGAATGCCTTCAAGCTGCTTGTGAGCAGAGGCTGGGAGACCCAACTGCTCGGCAACATCAGCGATGACGGAGCTTTCGAACTTGCTCTGAGTGTAAGGGAATGGGAATCTTTGCGACTGAGCCGGGCTAAATCCGGAAGTCGCCGAGGCAATAATGCATGGCGATAAAGCTGTTCGGTCGACTGCAATGGAAACAGAAACAGGACTATCAGAGTTAGAAGCCGACTCATTGACAGGGACGGATTTCTGCTTGAGGATGTCGAATGCCTGGAACTGCTTGATGTACAGAGTACGCTTGTGTTCAGTGTTCCGTCTCGAAATTGGCGTAACTCGTCTCATAGTATGAAAGCCACGTTTTTGTGAGCCAGTTCCAGACATTGGCTATGTGTAGTTAGTATAGCTCAGATCGGATTCTCAAAGAAACAAACTCACACGGCTAGACTGGTTCGCAAACAAAGTCTTCATTCCTTCGCCGAACTTCTCAGGATGGTTAACCATGACCGCGCCAGCACGTTCAAGTGCCCGATACTTAGTTTCTGCATCTGGTTCCCCAGGCGCAGCCCAAGCACCGGCATGTCCCATAACCCGCCCAGGAGGTGCTTCCAACCCACCAACAAGGGCCATAATAGGCCTACCCAATATCAGCATTGCATTCAAACCCCGTAAACAAGACACAACAACTTACTTAGGATCCACAGTCCTCCGTCGATAATCCTTAATCCACTCCGCAGCATCCATCTCCGCCGTCCCCCCAATCTCCCCAACCAAAATAATACCCCGAGTATCAGGATCATCTTCAAAGAGATTAAGGGCATCGACAAAGTTCGTGCCCGCCAGCACGTCACCGCCCATACTAATACAAAGACTCTGACCAAGTCCAGCCCGCGTCGTCGACGCAACAGTCTCATAGCTCAATGTCCCAGACTTAGCCACGATACCGACATTGCCCGGCGCGAAGCAAGGCAATGGCTGGAAGCCGATTCGGCATTTGCCGATGGCGGATATAATTCCTGGACAGTTTGCGCCGACAAGACGGGTTTTGGATTGCGTTTGTAGCATGGAGTGGATCTGTATGTAATACAGTTAATGAAAAGAACTCTTCGATTACTAGCACGGTTCACTGTGAGTAGGTCATACCCGAAGGATGTCGTGGATCGGCACATGCTCCGCTACAGCCACGACGAGTGGGATTTCCGCTTCGATGGCTTCTTCGATGGCTTTGGCGGTTTGGTTTCCTGGGACATAGATTGCAGATGCGTCGGGTTTTGCCTGTTCTTGGGCCTGGTGTGCTTGCTCGTTAGTCAAATTACATCCTTCCCAGGAGAACGTATCAGTTCAATCCTCGTACCGCTTTGACAGATGGGAAGACAGGTAAACCTAGATGTTCGCCTTCGACCCCAGGCTTGACGCCTCCCACGATCTTAGTGCCCCATTCAAGAGACTCCTTGGCATTGGCAGTCGCCTGTCTTCCTGTGCGGAGATTAACATTTCATGACATTCATTGAGGGACTCGGCTCAGCTATAACAAAAGGGAATAATTACCTGTAAATCCCTGGTATAATACCTTGGTATGGGCGCCAATCTTGAGGTTCGGTAAAGTGTCCGCATAACTGGCCGTGCGGGGGGTGGTTGTAAAGCGCCTTATTAGGGATGTCCGCAACTGGGGCGCCCGTTTATGTACGGCGTGCAGAGGCATAACGTTCATGGAATACGCATGCAGATTGGCGCAATGCTTCTATAGTCGGAGGAAGATTATATACAATGTCAACTTCGAAATCAATCAAGTCAAGAAAGGCTACTGAGCCAAGTCGGCTATAATCCGGTGTCGGAGCTTTCCCCACATTTGCCGAGGAAGTTGGCCCTTTCAAGCTTTTTTATACTTCGCGTCTTCGCACATGAGATGGATATGGGGTAAATATAAATTCATACGTCGTTTTCGTCTGATTGAACTACCTAGATACGACTCCTTTCTCCAATCCTGCACAATCAATAATCATTAAGATGAAGCTTCTTCCCCACAAATCTCCGCCTAACAGATTTCTCCCCGCGTTGTTCCCGCTCCGCACTGAGACCCTTGAGCGCATGGAGAAGCATACCAGCATCGAAGAAACCATCTAGATAGATATAAGTTAGCAAAGAGTCGCAATATAAGAACCAGCAACCAATGGTGCAAAAGAGGTAAAAACTTACATCCTCCCATACCATCATCCTCCATATAGCTACTCTCAGCGGCAGAAGTAGGAGTCTCAACACCCCCACCTCTTACAAGTCGACCGCGACGATTCGTCTCCGCCTGCAAGCTCTCTGCAAACGCCTCGGTCTCTCTCGCCCGACTAGTACGCGGACTCGTCGCCTTGCGATTGGTCGCGCGCAGCAACTTCCGAATCTCAAACAGATACGTCTCGAGCGTGTGCATGAGACGCGACGTCTGTCTGTGCTTGGAGCTCGCGCAGATCGAGATCGAATCGTCCTTGATAATATAGCCAATACCGAAGCCGTCGGCGGACGTAGGGCCGAAGCCGAAGTGGCGCAGACAAGGGTTTCCGCAGTTCGAGGTCGACAGTATAGTGGTATTGATCTTGTCCCAGCCGGCATCGGCGAAGATTGCGGGTGTTGGCGTCGTTACTGTGCGGTAGCCGCGCGTGCTGCTTCCCTGTGAGGAGAAACCGTCGTCTGAAGGGGAGGAGGAGGAGAGCTTCGGTGATTCAGGACACTGGCTTTGGGTTTGGGATTGTGTTTCGCCAGGGCTGGAGTACCCGCCAGTTGAGCTGGTGTCCGGGAAGAGACCCTCGTCGAAGGAGCGCTGCCAGAGGCAGTAGAGGGCGTAGAGGTGACGGTCCGGGCCCTGGCCCTTTGAACAGTCCTTGGTGGCGGCGCTGTGTTTTTGGCATGCGATGCGGAGGGCATCGACCTTTTGTTCGGCGGCATTCTCGCCCCAGAATGCGGTGACAAAGTCTATGCATTCGGGACTTACGGTGCGGATGGCTTCTGTGCGTCCGTGCAGGAACATCTTTGTCATGGCTGGTTCGTAGGTGTTCTCAGCTCGGCCGTAGAGACCGTAGTAGGCGGCTTGGAAGGCCATCTGGATGAATGCATCCGGAGAGAAGCCCATCGAGGTGATGAAGTTCTTGCCAAAGCATTCAAAGTCCAGGACTTGGATTTCGTGCTGGCAGAGCAGGTCGGATAGATGTGATTCGGCGAAGCGGAGCGCAATGTTAAGCTCGGGTGTCATGTCCCATTCTAATTTGCGCGGTGTCGTGCTGACATTTCCGAAACTGTGTGGGTCGCGCTTCGCAGGGTCGGGACTGCTGGTTGCCCATAGGCTTGGGGATTGCCCGTTGATGGTCTTTGCGAAGCGGAGGATGGTGTCGGTGTACACGTCGCTGGCAAAGCGTAGCACCGTGTGGCCATCCACACCGGTATGCTCGAAATTGATACCAGCACTGCCGTTCTTGCAGACGATGATTTGCAGCTTGTCATACCAACGGTTGGTACAGGTTCCAACCTGCACACCCTTGACGACTTCGCATGTGCCACAAAGCATGTTAGTACAAAGATCGGCCATGGAGGCTGGCTCCGTGGCGTCTAGACATAGAATGAAGAGCGCGGTATCGACAATGTTCAAACACTCCGCGTTGTTAGATCTGCGATCTTTGGTCATGATATCACGTAGGCCCGACCAAACTTTCCGGTTCTCGGTGCTGAGTACACCCACAGCACCCTTGGCAGCCTCGTGAAGAGGAGTCTGAGTCGCATCCTCAACGATTACCTCCAGGTTAAGCGAGATGTCTTTCTCACTCATGATCAAATCGCTATTGTTGTCCAAGACGTCAAACCAGTAGAACTGGCCCCGAGCCATAACAACTATGTGTTTAGCCGTGGGGTCCTGGCTAATTACGCAGCCATTTTCGGTAGGCAGACGTGCGGTTCCAAAAAGCCGGGAGTACTGATACATGCAAAGGGGCGTTCCCCGCACGGTATCAGGAGGCAACTCCTCTCGACGCACAGCCCGAACAAACGCCAATGATGAGACGGCCAGTGATGCAGCTCGAGTCACCTGGTGATTTCTGGCGGGAGTTGGGTCGTCCTCCAAAAGGAAGAATGGATTGAGGTTTAAAACAACAGCTGCGAATGTTAGATGACTGCAAAAAATTCTTCACAGGAAATCCAACTTACGATTATCGAAATTCAAATAAGAATCATACCCTAGAAAATGATCAGCCAACATCTCATCCAATACTTATTCTGAAGACTTACAGAATTGCTCAATATAGCTCGTCTTTGAACTAGCATAAGCCTTCAGCCGCTCTTGCAGAATAGGGCCCTCATTCTTTAAAAAGTCCCGAACAGCAGCCTTGGTATCTTCATGATCACGCGGGGTTTGCAAGCCCTGCAGAGTCTCTAGGTACCTGCGACAGGTATTCTCCAGATCAGGAATAGGAAGTTTGGGCAGCGAGTCCTGGTTTGCAAAAGTCAAGCCCTGGCTCTTGGGCTCAGCAATCTCCGCGGAGGGTTGTTCAGAAGAGATATTTGCTCTCATGACTGTCTGGCCCTGGGAGTCAGGCCCGGACTTCTTGCTTTTGCCGGTGTCCATAGAATCACTGGATGGTTTGGGGTCGGCGTCCGTAGGATCACCAAGTGGTTTGGGATCGGTGTCCAAAGAATCACCAAGCGGTTTGGGGGCTGTGAAGAATCGGACTGCCATTGAGGAGTAAGACATAATGTTAGATGTGTTCAGATTCTCGGAAGATAAAATCAGGCGTAGCGACTAGCGAGGAAAGTGGGAATTGACAGGAGGCGTAAGGCTGTGCGGTAGAAGTAGTGGCAGTCTTGGAGGCAGTAAGATGGCATTGGAACTATGTCATGCGCAGAACAGATGCGGGCAAGGGACAAGAGGACAAGGAGAAGATCACGTAGAGGGGGAGAGATTCAAGTGGCGAGGGAGAGGGAGAGAGTCTGGTAATTTTATATAGGCGTGCGGGATTATAGAATCATCTCGACGGGCTGTGGATCCACCTCGGGCCTAAGGGGAAAAGGAAAAGAAACACCGACTGAGCCATGTACTTACAGAGCAATGTACGATAGTGCAAATGGTCTGAAACCGAAATGCGGGTTTGTGTGACCGGGTAATACGGAGGGAGAGCGGAATGATAGCGCCGGAGAAACGGATGAGTTTTCTGCTATGCCGCCAGATGTTAAATTATTGCCAAGAAAAGGACCACTGTGGACAAGTAGGTTATGGGTGCTACAGAGTCCCTTTATATGGGAGACTCTGAGAGTTTGTCCCATGTAGACATCGCATCTTGAGGCGTTTCCATGGAGGACGGCGGGTGAGATAGGTTTGTCTTGGGGAGGATACCCCTCACCCCGTGGGGGAATTCAAGGGGAAATGATAGGTGGGATGCGGGATAGACCAGGCTAAGAACTTACTTCCCAAGGTTAATGTCAATCACGAACCCTGCACGTCGGCGCAGGTGTCTCGGCTCGGGATTAAAGATGTACAAAGCGTGCCGTTGAGGGTGAGAGGTTTAAGGTGAATAGTGCTTCAATAAAGATAAAATGAATTATCGGCAAGAAGAAGTTCACTTATACCGCCACAGTTCCTCGGACTTTTGAAGTATACCGAAAGCGCTCTTTTCTTCATGTACCAATGACGTTTCGGGCGAAGGGACCGGTCATGCGGGGGAGTGGGGGTCACGTGGACACTACGTCATGGGGCTAAAAAGATCATCCCAGCGCATCCAAAAGGACATACAAGAGAACATACAACATACAAGAGAACATACAACATACAAGAGAAAATTGGGAAATCTTACAATTTCGTGGATGGGCATGTTGGAATAACTTCATGATACGCTGGGGTTGTACACAGTACATCACGCTCGAAAAATAAAAAGATGACGCCAGAGATTTTGTTATCCACAGGATGAGCCGCGACACAGGAGTGGCGGAAGACAAGGAGTCCAAAAATATTCACAATGGAACAATAATATCTGCATTGCCATGGGTCCTCCAAAATAGAAGGACGAAGCACGCTTGCATACATACAGTATGGGTCACCGATCGAGGCAGGACATGCAAATGACGAAGAAGGTAAAGACAAGAAGATAAATACACAACACAAATCGAATAGGAGACATATTGTTCCGAAGAACAGGATGGATTTAGATCACCACATAAGAATATCAGATGTGGCATTCTCAAATCAACACCTCCATATATTCCGAGACGTTTATGAAGTGGGCTTCAAGACGTTGTCGGCATACTCGCCGGCGTAGTTACCAGGGGAGCCATAGTTGCAGACAGTGTAAGGCGCGGCGCTGCCAACATTGCCCAAGTCAGAGCAGCTGACGGTGGCGCAACCAACTTGAGTGGTAGCTTTCCAGACGATCTGAGTGAAGTGGCCCCACTTCTCGAAGTTGGTCATATCAGGGTTGGCCTCACCGTAGAGGTTGGCGAAGTATGGCGCCTCATCGGTGTACATCATTCCGCTGATAATCTTCTCACCGACCTCTGCCGCGTCGTAACCGTAGGCGATGTTCTGGCCGTAGTCTCCGCTGGCGGACACGATGGAACTAGTCACGTTAGGATTATTGTTTCTCAAGCAAAACAGAGGAATACTTACGTGTCGTGTCCGTACACGCAACGAGAGGCGAGGGTGTTGGCAGCTCCGGCGAGGTCATCGGACCAGGTCAGATCGCCTACAGAGTGCGCGCTACGGTGGATGTTGTGGTAGTACAGAATGGACTCCTGGTAGGAGTCGGTAGAGCTGGAGGTGGCAGCAGCGGCGGTGGTCGAGGTTGCCGAAGAGGTCGCGACGGAGGTGGTAGCAGCGGCGGTGGTGGTCGGGGCGACGGTGGCCGGGGCTTCCGAAGAGGTAGCGACGGAGGTAGCCGAGGAGGTCACGGCCACGATTTCAGCCTCAGTAGTCGAAGATGGGACGATCGAAGAGGTGGTCGAAGACGAGGTTGAGCTGGTCGCGCTACTGGGTTCCACAGCCTCAACCCCGGCGGCAGTAGTAGTCGAAGCCGCAGCAGGGGCAGACTCGACCTCCTTCCTGGAAACATCGACAGTGGGGTGGGCGGCGTTGGCGGTCTTGGTGGACTGCTTGACCAAAACAGCAGTGTTGAGGGTGCTGGTGCTGGTGGGCCACTGGGTGATGGTTTCGGTGACGGTGGTGGTAGTCCACTGGGTCACGTAAACCTCCTTCTCAATAACTCTGGCACAAGTGCCGACCGCCAAGGCGGCAACGATGACAGCAGAACGCATTGTAGGATTTCAGACAAAGAAACTTCTCCAGGAAGTTTGTTAAAAAAAAATAAGGGTCGGGATTGGGTCAAGCAGATCGACTGTTGACAAAGGAGTGTGTAGGTAGAAAATAAATGAATGGCAGGCCGAGGAGCACCTTCTTTCTTCAAAGAGTGAAAGAAAGATCAGATGCAGGCTTGAGGGATTGGATGGAGAGAAGAGAGAAGAAGCGAGGAGGTTAAAGTGGTAAATAATGTAGAAGGGGGAGATGGGAGATGAGGAGGGGGGCCGTGCGAATATTAAATTTAAATGAAGTCCTGGAGATGGAGATTGAACTTGTAAGTGATTATTTTATAAATTATTATATCGTCAAGAAAACGTCAATGGCTTTCTCCTATACTTATTCCCTTTTCTTGGGCTTTCCAACCTCTTGAGATTCAAACATGCCTCGATGTGGCACATTCTATAGTACATTCCACGGCCTAGATACCATTTCACACAGATATGAGGCTGGCGATTTAGACCTCCAAGAGATATTCTCCGTACAACATAATCTCGTTTGAAGTATTAAGGGTATGAGCATATTAAAAATTAAAATTAAGAATTAGGGATATACGATGCGTGATGTGTCCCCTGGAAGTATGGCCTGGACCACCTCTACAACAAGTCCACCGTATGGAGCCCGTAGTCAGTACTGCTAATCAGAAGAAGCCCTGAGAAACAAGGTAATTAAAAGTACCGTGGGTTTCCACTCCATGGAAAATCTCCGAAGTAAACTAGAAACGGAGTCTACAGCCGTGAAAAATAAGGGCAAGATCTTAGTATCGCAGGCGACAGCCAACACTGGAAGCCCCTGGCCAGGAACGGTTTCAAGTGTCCACATCGGAGCTTTCACCACCAATCAGAGGAACGTGTCGAGAAACAAACAACCCCACCAGAACACCCGCTTCTCCCACTAAGAAACTTGGCTTGGAGGCCAATTCGGCAGTGAGCACGGGCGGATCTGACTTAGATTAAAGCAATCAACCTCGTTTCAGCCACTCAATTATGACGGGATCAGAAGGATCGCCCGAGACACTCCGGAGCAAAATGGGAATTCCTTGTTTTTGATTATATGTCCAAGTTGGAGGGCATCTGTGTAGCTTTTGATATTCCGAGGTTCCAGGCCGATGGAGCACTCCGTTCCTTGGATCTGCGACAAGTGGAAGATCATGCGACAGCCAATCAGAGCGATATGCCCGTTGGCACACCTCGTCCACGGATCCTTGTGGGACTGGGCGCGTATACATACAGGAAGGGGAAATTCCAAAACATCGTATTTTCAAATCTGTACAATCGCATTTGGCCTTGTAGGAGTACGGAGTAGACCACTACAGAATATTCCGCAGATTCTAGTCTTGAACATGTACCTCCACCTTTCCGGCAGCAGGGTCCATAGTCTGAAAGTACAGAACATCCGCTCTGAAATAACGTAAATTGTAAAACGTGCAAGAGTTACCCAACCAAATGTCCAAAAACGCCACACAACACTCCTGATGTAATTCAAAAAAGTAAGTACCAAACTCGTAGCGCTCGCTAGAGATTTTTAGTTTGGCATTTCCCAGTCTCACAAATCATCATGTAGTTCTTGGCTGGCTCGCCGGCCTTCAAATCTTGGAAGAGAGCATTTCGGGATTTGAGCCAGAAGGACAGGTTTCCCACAAAGTCTTTCAGATGTGAGGGGCGAATGTCGACAAGCGAAGTGACCACGACAGACGAGGACACGGCCACGCCGGCCTCGGCCCGGACACGTCGCTGGATCAGGTCGAGTGCTGACACGGGCTCATCGTTCCGACTGAGGAAATTGTCGCCACGTGGCTTAGGGACCGAAGAGACATCGGGCGTGGAGAACACACCCGTCACTGTGCGAGTGCCAATCTGGAGGCCCACAATCACGTCCAGCATGCCTACAAACAGGAAGGGGTGCTGGATGATCTCCACCGCGAAGGTGTTGCACGTCTGCCGAGCCAGGGTCCGGTAACTCTCATCCGCGAGAAGAGCGGACAGGCGCAGTAGATTACGCGCAATGACTCCGTTGATCGAAGGTGTTGCTGACTCGGTGCCAGTTTTGAGACGGAGGATCGGGGCAGGCATGCCAGGGGTGACGACGGAAGGTGTACTGAAGTATCCGGTAGCTGTAGAGCCACTCTCATCCAAGAAGTATTCATTGAGGTATCCTAGAATCACAAGTTAGCCACAAGGTCCCGTTCATAGAAATGGGGCTATTCTCACTTTGCAATCGCTCCGCAAATTGAAGATAGCTGTCGTCGTAAGTAGCCTCATACATATCAAGCAATCCGCTAGCCAAGTATGCGTAGTCGTCGGCAAAACCCGGGGTGTCTCCACGACTTCCATCGCGGTAAATGCGCCATAGCTGTCCCGTGCCTTTATCGAAGAGCTTGTCCTTGATGAAACTGATTGCCCGTGCTGCCGCTTCGCGACAATGCACGGCCTTGGAGCTCTCGATCTCCTCAAACAGAACACTACACTTGGCAAGCGCACCGATCGCCAATCCATTCCAGGCCACAATAATCTTGTCATCCAGGTCTGGCCGCCCGCGTGTTCGTTCGCGATAATCGTGCAACTTCAGCTTTGACGACTTGATGATCTTCACTACTTCTTCCTCGCTAAGACCGAAGTCTCTAGCGAGTTTGCTCGGCGTGGCACGGACGGACAACACGTTCTGGTTCATGAACTCATCGTGAGGGTCATACTCGGGGGGCACGTTGCCGTCAGGGAGAACACCCCAGTGTTTGGCGCAGACTGGAGCATCCCGAGGGCCGAGGACTGAGGTGAGTTCCTTCAGCGACCAGACATAAAAGGCACCCTCTCGCTTTTCGGTGTCATTTGGATGGGGGTAACTGTCGGCATCTTCCGAGGAAAAGAACCCTCCGGTGGGCGACTGTATCGGGGCGCTCGTCAAGTAGGCGGACAAATCATAGACAGCGCCTAAAAGTTCGGGGTCGTGAGTAAGCCGGAAAGCATCCACGTAGACATCCAACAGCTGTGCCTGGTCATACAGCATCTTCTCGAAATGAGGGAGACCCCAGTCCATCGTCACGCTGTACCGTGCGAATCCATGGCCGATATGGTCCCTAATGCCGCCACGAGCCATGTTCACTAGCGTCGTGACAGCCATCGCGGTTGCTTGTTCACACTCATCATGCCCTACAACATCCGTGACCTGGGTCGGATAGGCACCGAGCCGGATTAGGAAGCTGAGGTTAGAGGGTGTAGGAAATTTCGGTGCGCGGCCAAAGCCGCCATTGACCGAGTCGTATCGAGAGGCGAAATGCTGATACGCTTCTTCTAGAAGCTCAATATCCATTTCCTCGTCATTATCATTATCGCGGTCACCATGTGTCCCTTCCTCGGCAAACTCTTTCAACTGCTTGGTGATTTCTTTGGCGCTGTCGAGACAACGCTGCTGTTGTGTCTGCCACACATCTCTCAATTTTTCTAAAATCTCCACAAACCCGATTGCCTCGGGGCCCGTGAATGTGTTTGAATTTGGGCCTTGCCAGTAAGTGCCACCAAACACGGGCTCAAGGTTAGGAGTCAAAAACACATTCAAGGGCCAGCCACCAGAACCCGTCGTGGCCTGGACATAATTCATGTAAACGTCGTCGATGTCTGGTCGCTCTTCGCGATCAACCTTGATCGGGACGAAGGATTCGTTCAGAATCGAGGCCACCTCTGGTGACATAAACGATTCTCTTTCCATGACATGGCACCCTAGGCAATATTAGAATGCCGGTACGCCCAGTGAAATAGTTGTAACCTACAATGACATGCGGAGTAACCGATACTGAGAAAGATTAAACGATTGTGCTTCTTGGCAAGCTCCATAGCTTTTGCATCCCAGACTTGCCATGCTACCGGGTTGTTCATATGTCCTCGGACCTGTTATTCCATGAGCGTGTTGCCATTTATCTCATAGGAACACATCTCTCACATAGGGGGATTTGCTTTGCTGCAGACGATTGACCATTTTGGAGCTTGTGTCAGGTACGTCATGGCGCGGGTGTGAGTGGTTGATCGAGGCAGCCATTGTCACTGGATTTCCAATACTTCTGCTGATCGGAGACTAGACGTCCATCAGCCCGGGGCTGAATAGTGGTTATTAACGGGTTCTGGCAGTACCTAGGTACCCAAGTTTAGAAGCTACCCAACGTGGGATCGAGTCCTGATGGGATATAACGGCTTGTGGCACAAATAGTATCTTTTAAACTAGGGTGAGAAATGGGCCGGGTTGGCGCGGGTTAGAGCAGGTCGGAGCGTGTCTTGATGGATAAAGTCGTGTGCGGGCGCGCCATTTAGGCGGGGGAGTCGAGGCAAGGGTCGCGGTCGCGGGAGATCGGCCCCGTGCGTCATGGCTGCATCAGCAAGTCACGTGATCTGGTTGTATAGTCTACAACATATGTACATGTTTAGTGTACTGTTTGGTGTGGTATTTAAGGCACCATACATGTCTCTGCTAAGTATACATATGTTCAAAACATAATTGGGTATCACATCATCTAATCGTCTCCCATTAGCTCTGCCAACTCTGCCTCTTCCTCTGCCGTTAGCATGGATTCGGCTGGTTTTTCCTCTTCCTCTTTGTCTGCTGCGGGCTTCTTTGCGAGTTCCACGGCCTGCTGAAGCTCATCGGGTCGAAGGGACCATTGGCGAATGGTCGCATCAATTCCTACGCTGACAATGGTTGAACCTACAAGCACAAGCCCAGTGACCTCTTCGAAGTGGCCAGAGAAAGTATGATGCAGTGCTCCGGTCTATATTAATCAGCACATACGCATAAAAAAACCAAGGAGGAAAGAGGTCCTTACCGATCGGTTCCACACTCTAACTTCCTCGTCCCGACAGGCAGTCACAACCCAGCCTCCTGCTTCATAGACAACAACATCACGGACAAAGTCAGGATGCTCTAGGGTCAGATTGGCCTTCCAGCCATCCTCTCGAATCAAGCATTTGGCAGTCTTGTCAGCCGAAGCAGTCCAGAGATCACCGTCATTATCGAAAAAGAGCTTGTAGACACTGGTCTCATGTGGAAGGAGAGGGTCAGTAGTATCACCACCGCCAAAGATACTGAATTGGCGAATCTCCCGGTCACTTCCTGCACTAAATACGATTGGTTTGGTGCTATCCGATTCTGGGTCAAGGGCAAGGTCCTGGATGCTGCGAGAGTGGCCCTTGAAGGTCTCTAACCGCTCTCCACTTGTGATATTGAACACCAGGACTTGTGCATCAGCACCACCGGAGATGAGCAGGTCCTTTCCAAGTAACCTTGCACTTATGACTGATTGAACAAAGTCGACATGGCCTTCGTACTTCTGACGTGGTTGGCCCGTGGCCGTATCCCAGCTCCAGATAGCTTGGTCCCAGCACCCGGCAAATAGGAGCTTGCCATCGGGGCTCAAACAAAGACAAGTAACAGGAGCCATGGGACCTGTAAATACCTTAGCTGTTTCGCCTGTCTGTAGAAATGTAAGAATTTGCGACGGTTTTGAGATAACAGGTGCACTTACGGCAAGGATGACCCTTCTCACAGTGCCACTGCTTTGCGCAACATAAATCGAGCCAGTATGCCAGGGATCTGGATGAACTGCTAGGATCTTGCCCTGCAGTCGAATAGGGTTTCCATTGGTGTTCTGAGACTTGGCATCTTTCCGCTCCTGCTCATCCAAAGACGCGCTGTGAGGGACGTCAATCAACACATTCCGATTCAAAGATCAAACAATTGCTTTGACTCACGATGTCTGAAAGAAATGATCCCGGTTCGAAGAGGTCGTCATCGTGTCTCCAGTCTCTCAAAAATTCAGGCAAACGTAACAGCAGCTCTCATTTTTCCCCATCAACTTCTCCCCCGCCAACTTCAAAATTGCTATCCGAGCTTACGTCGTCCACCGTAGCCCGTATCCTCCACAAAACCACAGAATTTGCGTTTCCTCTCCCTTCCCTTCTCTTCCCAACCTATCTCGTCTCTCCAAATCTATCCGTTTTCGTATTCTTTCTCTTCGTATCCCTCGTTTACTTAGTCCGCGCGATATCGCGCACAGCTGCCATGGAAATGAATCACCTCATAGGGTCAGTCTGAACCGGTTCGGAGTCAAGGTGGCCGGGAGTTAACATTTGGCAGTCAGCGTTTCAACCTGATCTCGAAAAGTGACATTCGGTGAGTTTATCAGACTGTCAATTGTCTTCTCCGCCATTAATTGTCTTTTAGTTATGTCGGTACTCTTCACGAAATCAACCCCGAAGCCTCCACGATAGCTCTTGAGAATGTCATGTCATTCGGTTCAGAAGGGCGCCGCGGCAACCCCGCCGAGGAAGTTCCCCCCTCCACCAGTGTTTACGAGTACATCGTCTTTCGAGGAAGTGATGTGAAGGACATCAGCATTGCTGGGGAGGATCAAAAGGAGCCCGCACCGCAAGAAGCACCTCGGGTACCCGATGACCCTGCCATTCTCGGGGTAAGTCATCACAGCTCTTTCCTTGATCTACAACGTCATCCCCCACAACCCACCGCACATTGTCTCGGCGAATTGATCAAGTGACGAGAAATTCTCGGATGTAAACACATATCTGTCTGAATGCGCAAAACCATGTTGAGATTTCCGTTGCCTTCCTTCTGATGATCAATTCCCCTTGGACTTGTTTTCTGTATCGTTTTGTATACAGCGTGCTGACTAGCACAAATAGGGCGCGAAACGACCAGTTCCTACCCAAGGGCCTGACCCGGGACTTGCTCCACAGACTCTTCCTCCCCAGGGCCCTCCCCAGCTGCCCCAGGGAGCTGGCCCAAGCCCTCCCGGTTACCCCCCGCAGCACCAATTCCAGCAAGGTTTCTACCCCCCCTACGGACAGCGATTTGGACCACCTCCTCCGTTCCCTCCCGGTCCCGGTTTCCCCCCGTATGGTGCTCCTCCCGGATGGTACCCGCCTCCGGGGCATGGATTCCCCCCCGGTCCTGGTCAATTCCAGCCGCCGATGCCCATTGGCCCTGGTCAGCAACCTGGACCTCCACAGCTTGGACCTCAGCAGCATGGTTCTCAGCGCCCGGGACCTCCCGGTGCCGCACCCGCATCTAAGCCTACATCTGAACTCCCGATCGGGGACAAGCTTCCCAGCAAGTCTACGAGCGGTAACGCAACCCCAGCCGCTCAGAACGCCCCCACTCCTCCAAACGACTCGAAGCCTAGTGTGGCCGAAGCTTTGCAGGTTCCTGTTAGTGCTGCTCCTGTCCCTCAGAAGAATGGCCGAGTTATGCCAGCTATCCCAATCGCTGCCCCAAGGCCTGCTCCTCCGATCGCCAACATTCCTATCGCCGCTCGGGGAAATAACCAGTCTATCACTGATGCCACCGCGGCTGCCACCGCTGCCGTTGCTGCCGCCATGGCCAAGTTGCCTCAGCCTGGTGCTCAAAAGCAACCAGGACAGGCCGAAGGTGCCGTGGATGCGCTTACGCAGCAGATGAATCACATGCGCCCTTACGACAACACCCGTCCTCCCCGAGGTGGTCACCACCACCCTCGCGGTGGTCGCGGCGGCGCGCGTCCTCCGCAGCAGAGCAAGAAAATCGAAGTCCCCCAATCGGATTACGATTTCCAAACTGCAAACGCCAAGTTCAACAAGCAGGATTTGGTGAAGGAGGCCATTGCCACTGGAGTTCCCGTTGCTGAAGCCGAGGTCCATGCAGCCGAGGAGGCAGAATCCATGGAAACTATGTCAAACGGCGGCGGCTCTTCGGCCCACGGCTACAACCGCGGTTCTTCCTTTTTCGACAATATCTCAAGTGAGGCTCGCGATCGTGAGGAGAACACCACTCGTGTTGGTGGTCGTGAGTGGCGCGGCGAGGAGGAGAAACGCAATATGGAAACCTTCGGACAGGGTAGTGTTGATGGCTACCGGCCCAACTACCGCGGTCGTGGCCGTGGCCGCGGCTTTGGTCGTGGTCGAGGTGGTTACAGCCGTGGCTACGGCCGTGGCCGCGGTGGCCGGGTCACCTCTGAGTCCACTGGTGTCCCATCCCAGGGTTGATCGGGATTTTTTTGATTACATGTCTTTCTAGCGATGATTGCTATCTTGTTTTCATATTTGGGGTGGCAAGACCTATGACCGAAACGAATAATCACACTTGAATCTTTTCTAGTCTCTTCGGCGCAAGGCAGACTGGGGCCGGGGGCATATTGGGTTGGCCATGCGATCCTGCAACAGCAATTATGGGTGTTTCTTTGTGTTTCTTTGTGTTTTATTGTTATGTTCCTTTTTTTTTTTTTTTTTTTTTTTTAATTATGGAACGCAGTACGAGTGAGAGGGGGTGTGGTAGATGGCGTGCGGACGTCGTCTTCCT